ATTACAAAGTAATTTAAGTATGGAACATTTATGTAAAACAAGTAAGATTACATAGACGCCCGTTTCTGTTTTTTGCGTATTCTATAATAATAGGGATGGAGGGTAAACCTCGACTTCTTTTACACAACGATGGTGGCAATTTCTGTATTACTTGTACACGATAAAATCAGAAAGAAAAAAACAATATAATTCTTAGCAAATAAATAAATAAATAAAATATGAGGAAAAAAGAGAAGAAGAAAGAAGACATCACAATGGATCCGCTTTTGACTAAGATAAATTTACAAAGGGGAAATGGAAGGCACAGATGTAATACTCCCTTTTTTTCTTATGTAAAAAAATAAAAAAAAATAAGACTCTACGTAACCAACTGATGTTTATATAAATGTGCATTCATACGAGAAGGGTAACGAGTGCAGTGGCGGGATATTTTCAGAGATAATTGCACACGTAGGTTTTCGTAACCTCAGCTCTTTTGCTAAAATGACGTGCAAATATTTTGATAAGCTTCACGTCAAACGAAAATAGGTATTATTGTTACTCTACTGAAAGAGAATTCCTTTTGATTCGAGTGGAGAAACGACAGATGTTTTCCGAGTTTGTGCTTGTTGATGATGATGGTTGATCTAATAATTCTCTCAACTCTTAAGGCAGTATTGTAAAGTTGTTTCAAATTATTTTAACTCTTCTGATTTTTTTTTTTTTTTTTTTGATTGCAATGCAGTCGCTTATACTTTTCTCTTATAAAAATACCCTATAGTTGTGGGTATTAGGAATATTTCTTATAGGTAAAAATTATTGGGCTAATACTTTATTATTTTTTTTATACAATATGTTTATATATATATTCCATTTTGCGATCCTCGAATTTCGTTGTATTATAATTAATGTCGCTCATAATACTACATTTTTATTTCAAATGTAACAAATACTGTTAGTATTTTGAACTAAATATATTAATCGAATTAGTCTTTAAACGAACTCTCCTCTCATGTCATAAGCTTAGATATGTATTTTTGTAAATACTCAAGTCGTAAATGGGTAGCTCTAGTTCTTGCTGTACAACAACATAGTTGGTTTCATGTAATTCGCAATGTACAATTTTATGTTAAGATCTTTAGCTTTGACACCTTTGTTTCTAAGGTAATCTTATACATGTTACGAACACAGATCTAAAAATGGGCGGAATGAAACGGTAGGTGCCTGCACAATTTACTTCAAAATCAGAATTTTCGGGGTTAAAATCACCATTCCCTTCACCGATAGTTAAATGTCAGAGCAAAGTGAGTATTAGAGGTGTTTGTTGCATATTTCCTGGTTTCGAAACGTGGTGTAGACTGCAAATCGTATGACGAGGGCGAATTTATCTTATAAGGAACTTCTAATTCGGTTACATAACCATGGTAAGTCACGGTGTTACGTGTAACCTTTAGACACGTCTAAATGACATAATATCATCTGCACGTACAGTACTGGTATGACGATGGAAACGCTAGCTTGATTTTGTTAGATGCACCGACAAATGTGTTTGTGACTGGCATAGTGTGTCTAGGAGAATAACGTGTTGTACATATACATCGTGTGTATCAATGTGCACAATAAGCACTAATGCGTACAGTCAACTTTGGTTTCAACAATTTTCAATCTCAAGCAAGATCATGTAATCGTTATTTATTTAAGTCGCACTTTCAAACAATCTAGCTGGTTTTAAACTTTCTATTTGTTCCTCTTACTTTTTAGCTATTTCAAGTCAGAGAATTATTTTGTTGGATGAACAGCTCTCTGTTAGCATGTATGATTTATGATAATTCTGTTAATTCTCTACAGTCACACCATTGTCTGGTCATAGGCAACAAGATCCTTTTTTGATTTATGTATTGAAAATTAAATATTTACGTGTCCAAGTAAAATAATTACTTAAGTCCAGTTGCTTCTCTTGTTGTGCATGACGCTCGCGGAAGTCACTCAAGGTCCGGTTTAATTTGCACACTAAAAACACACAAAACATTAACAATAGCTATCAATTAATTTCTCTTTGTTGTCTAAAAAAAACTATTTTTTAATCCTGTTAGTTCCCCTTGCGTTTTCCTAAAACTCGTAAAAGTTACTCTTTGTCAGTTGTTTGGACATAAATTGCCAATTTGCATGTCGAACAACCTATCGGTCAAATGTCCCCTTCGCTCAAAATAGTGGTCATCTTGTAATTAGGCTTTCAAATAAATGAATCCCTGTGATAAATGGACTCTACTCCATTACTTGGTCAGCGTTGGCAGCTGCCTTTTTGTTTAAAAGTCTTCAGGTGCGACGATTTCAATTTGTGTTTGCCGATCAGTTGTCATGTAGGTTTTCAAAGAGATAAATTTCATGTCCTTCGAGACATCATTTGTCCACCAACTGGGCATACATGGACTGGACCTCGTAGAAGCTTTACACATTAATTAGGATGGTGATAGCAAGCGAAACCTTGTACGTTTTCTTTTGGGACTGTTTCCAAGATGTTTCAAATGTATTCTGTTCAACTGTCAACCCCATAATTTTTTGACAATATAAGTAACGCAGAAAAACCATATAATCCACTAGTCATATATCAGATCCGTAACATGATTACGTTACGGTTTGTTTGTGACAGTGTTTTGACTGAATTTTGTACAGTACATACTAGTATGTAGTCTAATAGGGTGCTGTATACTACAGATTATCCACGCAACTGTGACAATACAACTTACAAGGTAAGCAATAACTTACACAATCGAAATGAGTAATCACGTATATATATTATTGTAATCTCAAAGATTTTAAGAAGTTTATTCAAGAATAAACGGAGACAAAGCTCTACATGTAGAGGCATTGTATGTTTTTATTTATACTTGTTGCACGGACAACTTAAACACAATCTCAAATATAACTTCTTCGATCAGACAATTGTCAGTGAACACCTGATTGTCTCTTGGTTTACTTTGACTGAAACCATGCAACTTAACAAACCCATTTGTCATCTCTACATCTTTTACCTTTATCTAATCCGAATAAATGGAATTGCGCATGGATTTAAAATGCCATGCTGCGGATTTGTGGATCTCTTAGCGTTTTTCTCTTATAGTTGTTTTTCTATGTTTTGTATCATTTTTTCTTTTGATTCTGTTTATCATTACTATTGACTCATGTTTTCATATTATCAAGTATTGTACTTGTTGCGGGGACATCATAAATACACCTTTATGTCGTGTAATTGAAGGTTGAGAAGATTGTTAGAGGATTTGCGATCATCCCAACAATCTTTGTTCCATTCGACAGTCATGGAAATGTGTCAGATGAGATCTCAGATTGTGATAAGTCTGAAGGTCAGCCATTTTGAAATTCACCGATTGCGACAGAGTCGTTCAACTTTCATGTAAGGACAACTGCACCAGCTATCTGTATTTTCTGATGGTTATTTCTTTCCAAACGTTTATTCCCAAATTTTGGAGTAAGCTTATATGGGTATTGCCAAAGGTGCGTCTTAACTCTCTTTGGAATACGTTAGTTATCAATTTTTTTTTATCAGATAAAAATCCATTATCTTCCTCAAAATTAACTGTATTTTTATTACTTTCCTCCTATTTCACAAAATACGCCAAACACAACTCATTTCAAGATTAGTCAGAATATTTTATTCCAATAAATTAAGACTATACCATCGTAACATTACCTTATATACAAACTACCACACTATTCTGTTATACACGACGATATCTTAAGTCACGTGTTGTCACGTGACCACCTGAGGAATGTATTAGCTCAACAGAAGTATAGGAAGAAATGAACAAATATTATCGAAATATCTCTATGAATATGACAGGCATTTTGTGCATTTCGTTAATGCTTTAGGTCGCACCGGAGAAAGTGTATCACTCATGTACTTTAACATGTGCGGTACGTGTGAACATCTCTCTAAAGATACTGTGGGTAATACAGTGACCAATAATGCGAATAAACAATACGCATGTGCTTGTAAAATGTATGTTTAAAACGTTCTTCCTATACAGACAAAACTTCATCTACCTCACAAAGCAGGAACTTAGTACCCTTATATATTGCAGCAAAGGTTATGAGTCACAAAAATACAAAAAGGTTCAGTATCAGGCCCATAGCTTGCAACTCCAAAAGGTTTTTTCTGAAAAAGTGAACCTTTTTAATAATGGAATCTTTGTGCACTGTTATCTATACGACATATAGTGAAAGAAGTCCACACCGAGATGGATTCCCCATTATATTTATATTTAGAAAAAATGACCATATTCAAACTATAAGTTACCAACACATTATGTCTTTCAACCTGCTGATAGCAATCTAAAATTAAAAGTTTCAAGGTAAAATAAATAAATAAATATTCTATCCATACTATCAACTCTGTTTCAAAAATTTGGACATCTAATATTCAGAATAAAAAATCACTTTTTGGAATAAGTGTCACTATTGTCTGTAATAAGGCAAAATAAGTTTGATTTAATGAAATACTCTATTTCATCTCTCCTGTCAAATTACCACTATCTCTTACAAGTTTTAATACAACGCTTTCTAAGACGATCACAGTTAAAAACGTAAATGCCACAAATTATAGCTTTAATCTTTTTAATACATTTGCACATACTGGTAGCAGCAAAAACCAGCCAAATGCTATCAAAAACGACAAACATGTATTGAAAGAAATGTATCTGACATATGTAAGTTACAACCACCATAGAGAAGGGCGGTAAAATGTCGGCTCATTCTATTGACCGTCCAAAGGCCAGAGTGGACAATGAAATTGGTCAAAACATAGTCCACTATGTCCACAGTGCATGCTTAAACCCCTTTTACACTGGACGGCGTCCTTTCTGCATCTTTTGTGCGACCATGAAAACTGGCATCAATGTGGTCGTAGAAAGGAGGCACAAGCATTACTTTGATTGCGGAATGAATGCTCAATGATCGACCAGTTATCGCCACGTTAAGCATTTTTTTTTTTACTCTCAAACAGGGCCGTACTACAGGACGCCGTCCAGTGTAATTGGGGATTTAACACCACGGCTACGTTATCATATTACTTATATTATTGTGGTAATCGTCTCTCGTTCCTATCTAAAATTTGAGTATTGAACAATAATTTGGGTCAAGTTCACATAGGAAATAACTCATTAACTTATTGAAGCAGTCTGGAATCGGTTTGCTATGTCCACACGAGGAGGAGCGTGTTAATAAATTCAAAATATCAGGAACTTAGAGCATTAGCAAGGGAATCTGATCTATATTCTATCATCACAAATAAATAAATAAATAAATAAATAAATAAATAAATAAATAAATAAATAAATAAATAGATAAATAATATGAGAAAAAATAAATGGATATATATATACCTACTACTTCTGAGACACCTTAACACTAGATGACACAATTCGTAGAATACATTGTACCCATGACTGAGAAGGTTTTGACAGGTTTACATACAACTACCTTAGCCAAGCAATCGCGCTGCTTTTGAAAGTGGCTAAAAACCGATTCCGAACCAGACCAGAAATGGCCTAAAATCTCTCCGTGTGAACGTGTATTCAGTGTTTATGGTGTCACAGAAGGAGTTGGTATTCTCGGGGGTCGGTCTGTCACCTGACAGCGAGCTGATAATTGTGAGCTGTCGGCCAGATTTGATGGATGGTGGTTGCTCTGTTACACCACGGACGGGGATACAACTTTTAAGTGGAACGCTACCACATTCGGTTAACAATGACACTTAGGAGATTCCTGTCCGCCCACTTAAAGAGGGCATTTCTCTAGGGTGTTAAATCGAAGCGATGTCATTGTGGTAAAATTGAAAGAAGGGTAATCCTAAAGAATTATTGTATACATACGAGATACAATGTTGTTATCAGATAGATCTAGCATACATGCACCAGCAGCTTGGAATAACCGTCATTATTATGTTATGTATTTTGTTGACTGTTGTATTTGAAGACAATGATGAAATGGGAATTTTTTCGAGAAGGTGGGAATCTTGTTTGCTATAGGTTTCGTAAGGAGTATATACGAAATGTAGCCCGATTGCTAAGCGTAAATGCCCCCTCCTTTGCCATCTCAAGATCACGCCAACCCAATGAATCCCTTCTATGCATGCTAACTAAATGCCAACCATCAATTGTGATCTGTAAGTGCATTAACTGTATCCATTTGTTTTACTACCTAAACTTCCCAAGCACTAAACGACCGCGGTGGCTTTTCGAGTTAAAAGGTACAGATAAATAGATAATGGGTTCCATGATTTTTTTGACAGATCATCCTAAACATCCCAAAAGAACAAAAAATGAATAAAAAGCAATATTATTAAAAACCACGGTGCATTGAGTCCCCTGGTGTATGTTTTCTCAACTATTGCTGTTACTGCTGCAACAACAATTACAACCACCGTGTAAATACCCGTATAAAATGCAGTGTTGACAGTCATGGGATATATATTATTTGCGCTAATTGTTCAACCTGAACGGCATGTTATTACTGGTTCAAGTTTCCAAATAGAAAATATCCAGTTTGTTATTACCACCATGCTTATATATGTGAACGATGAATAGACTTAGCCGTGAAGAATAAAATCAAATATCAAACGTTGTGATAATGCAAGAAAAAATATTCCATGACAATTGTCAGCTTTGAAATTTAGAATAACTATCCCCAGGCAGCTATGACATTTTTCCCATTTGATAAAATACTATGTGATGTTACCGTGATGACGCTATTACCAAAACACATACGTCTAAAGTTGACGTAATCTGTACAACGAGAGAGTCATTACAAAATGGTCTGGTTATACGAACGATCTCTACGTATATTATATACAGAAATCTTTCAACACAAATTTAAAAAAAAAGCACTCTTAACATATAAATTAAACCCTTCAAATATACAACGGCGCTGAGTTCATAACAATGCCGTTGTGATACAAATAAAATAGAAAGTTGGATTTCGACAGATCTGAGGTGATACCATCGTAAAGAATATAACAAGCAGTCAGTCAGTAATAGCTTACTTTACCACTCTAATACTAGATGCGCCCTCAATATTGCACCAAACTATAACTCAAACCAGCCTGAGGACTTGGTAAATAAAACTCTAAATCCTCTGTTTACATTTTAATTTGCATTTTGCTCTTTCTAAATGTTTTAAAACAATCTTAAGTAATAAAGAATATGCCGTCTATACCATTACCGGGTTCAAGAACGGCATTTGAATTTGAAAGTCATTCTTGATTGTGATATTTACGCTCTAGTATGCAGAGTGACATATTGTTTCCTGATCTCCATAGACGTGTCCTGGCGGTCTATTTGCCCTAATGCTCCACTGGAGTAAAATATGATAATCATATGCAAATTCCACAAATGTGCCCAGGATACATCAATATCTATTTTTTATCTTAATTAAAAATCTGAGACTAACAGAAAACGAAAACAAAAAAATGAACACTTCGGACAAAAAAGGGAATACTGACAAGAACTCAAATTAAGATTCATAAATGTAAAAACTCTTGATCATGGCAGAAAGCATCGTTATAGATTGAAGAAAAGTCGTTGGCCATAAAACTTCCACTCGACATAGTTGGAGCTGTCTCACCGTATGCGCAGTTATTGTAATAGCCAGAACTATCTTGACGCATATGGTAACTGCCGTGGACCTGAGATCCAAAGCAACTACCGGGAAATGTGGTAGAGTCTGCTGAATTGCAGTAGGAATAGTTATTGATGCCGCCTATGCCGCCATTATACACGCCTGTGTGGGCATGCGTAGAAACATTTTGTTGCTGTTGGTCGAAACCGTTTGCATTCTGAGGAAAATCGCAGAAGCCATCAGCGTTTTGTCCCATTCCGTATGATTCGATATTTGTATTATTGTTGTTATTGTTGAATCCCTGCTCTTGTTGGGCTGCAAACGTGCCATTGTAATATTGCATGGGATTTTCCATGAAATTTTGATGCACTTGAGCAGAATTTTGATAATCAAATCCGCTGAAACTCGTTTCTGCGGGATTGTTGTAAGGAGGACCGCGCATGCGCGCAGACGGAATGTTAGCAGAAGACATAGTTCTCGGGGTGAGATAGCTGGGGGTATTTGAATAACTACCCAGAGTTTGTAAATGACAGGTTGTCGGTGAAACAGCGCCCCGGTAGCTAATGCCTTCTATAACGTTGCCGTTTACAGGCACTACGCTTCCTTGGTGACCAGGAAATGCATTGTGTAATGTTTGTCCCACCCGGGGAGTAAGACGATGATTTATAGCTTCAGACGGAGAGGTTGGAAACACCCTGGGGTTCGAACCTGTCATGCCCCGGGGGGCTTGATGAGCTAGTGCAGCCCCCATGCTCCCAGGCGGTGCCCTTGACGGCATGTCTAACCCGCTGTGTCCCGGATACGGTGTTATTTCCCCAGCTATGACGTCACGCGGCTTGGACGCCGTCGTCACGGAGGCTCGGTCGCTGGTTGTCGATGAAGTCGACAGTGGGGTCGATTGTGAGTGTGGTTGCACGCTTCCCGGTGACGATAATCTCCCCTTCTCAGATGACATTTCACCTTTTGTTCTCATTTCGTCAGCTACCTCTCCTGTGACTGCCATTTGTCTGTTGGCATTGTCGTCAGGTTGAGGTAATTGGCCGTTATTAGATGCGCCAGGGCTTGCCATTGTACGCGGGTCATCTTGCACTGAACTCTCTGGTGTAGGAACGCTGCCGACAGAGTCACATTTCTGTTTAGTTTCCATGGCAACGCCATCTTGTGTCACAAGAACGCCGGTGTCACCGTTACCGACGTGTGCTTCCCCAAAGTTATTTTGAATCGTCTGAGGAGGCGATTTGCTGTCACGTGGTGACTGATCAGCGAGAGCTGAACCGCCGCCATTTTGAAGTCCGTCCAAATTGTCTGCGTCTTCGTCTAACATCTTTAGAGTGTCCATTTTGTCCATGTCGTCGTCTTGGTGGTTCGACGCCGGGGAAGCTGGTGAGGGCTTAGGACTGAAGTCTTCTTTTCCGTCGAGATCTCCGTTTTGATGCCCCCCCTCTGACGTGCTGTCGGCCGCGGGGCTGCTCGAGCTGACGCTGTCATCGTTATTCGGGGCGTCTTGCTGCTTTAGTTGACTCTGACGCTTGAATTTCATGCGACGGTTCTGGAACCAGACTTTCACTTGTCGTTCTAGAAAAAAAAGAATGCACTTTGAGGCAAGCAACTCCCTCGACTGGTATGAAATCAAGGAGTTATTATTATTATTATTATTATTATTATTATTATTATTGTCGGTTATATTTAGCTGCATAATTTTTTCAAAGGTTGTTTAAGATAAAGCATGTATTAAGAAATGTCGATACTATTATTTGAAAAACTTGCACATTATCATAAATTTGTGTTTAGTTGCTTTTAAATATGATCGCGTTTCAAATTAAGCCATATTTATTTAGTTGCGGGTCGTAATTTCATGTAGCTAAATAATGGTACAGATGCTAAAATAAAGTTTATTGACTTTTAATCGGATTTTTAATACTTTTGTTTAAA